ATGTACTTCTGCTGTTCTCCAGGGTCTAGAACCAGACTTACACACTGCATAATCTTTAAAGATGCTGTATATGTGCATATGCATGAGACAGAAGAAAAACATGAACTTGTCTTACAAATTTGCATTTATGTAATTGCGTGCAAAAAAAAAAAACTGTTCAAAGGTTTGGGGTCGGTAAGATTTTAATGTTTCTGAAAGAATTATCTTCTCTTATGCTATATCAAAAATACAGTAAAAACTGTAATTTTGTAAAATATTATTAGAATTTAAAAGAACTGTTTTCTATTTTCATATATTTTAATGTGTGATTTATTCCTGTGATGGCGAAGCTGAATTTTCTGCATCATTATTATCACGAATCCGGTCTGTGGCCTTCCATCCGATTGCCACCAGAGATCGCCTTCTGATTATATTGACTCTCACACTACACAGACTTCCACATGTCACCATGGACTACATTTCCCATACTCCATTTCACTGATTACATTTACACCTGCAGCCAATTACACCCACTATAAGAATCAGTCTCAAACAACCATTCATGGCGGAGTATTGTAAGCGCATATCACTACCCTAGCTGTTAGCTACTTTACGGACCCTGCTCTAGTTTTCATAGTCTAGTTATTGTCATAGTCTTGCCTTGCCTGCTTTCCCGTGTTCAGATTCTTGCCTGAGTACTTTGGATTACCCTTTCGTCTTGTCTTTTGGATTATGTTTGCACCTTGCCTGGACTATTGCTCGTGTTCCTTGGATTACCCCTCTTGTCAAGCCCTCTGGATTACGTTCGCCATCGATCGACCCATGCCTATTTAACGGATTACTCTTGTGTCTTGCCTGTGCCATATCTGTTTGCTGGTGTTCGACCCTGCCTGTTTCTGACCATGTCTTCTAATAAAGCTTTGCAAATGGATCCACGCGTCTCGTTCGCCCCGTAACAATTACTCCAGTTTTCATTGTCACGTGATCCTTCAGAAATAATTAAAATATGCTCATTTGGTGCTCAAGAAACATTTCTTCTTATTATCAATGTTGAAAACAGTTGTGCTGCTTAATATCTTTATGGAAACTGTGACACATTTTTTCAGGATTCTTTTTATTAACAGAAAATTCAAAATATTTGAAAGAGAAGTCTTTTGTAACATAATAAATGTCTTTACTTTCACTTTTTAAATATTATTAGAATTTAAAAGAACTGTTTTCTATTTTCATATATTTTAATGTGTGATTTATTCCTGTGATGGCGAAGCTGAATTTTCTGCATCATTATTATCACGAATCCGGTCTGTGGCCTTCCATCCGATTGCCACCAGAGATCGCCTTCTGATTATATTGACTCTCACACTACACAGACTTCCACATGTCACCACGGACTACATTTCCCATACTCCATTTCACTGATTACGTTTACACCTGCAGCCAATTACACCCACTATAAGAATCAGTCTCAAACAACCATTCATGGCGGAGTATTGTAAGCGCATATCACTACCCTAGCTGTTAGCTACTTTACGGACCCTGCTCTAGTTTTCATAGTCTAGTTATTGTCATAGTCTTGCCTTGCCTGCTTTCCCGTGTTCAGATTCTTGCCTGAGTACTTTGGATTACCCTTTCGTCTTGTCTTTTGGATTATGTTTGCACCTTGCCTGGACTATTGCTCGTGTTCCTTGGATTACCCCTCTTGTCAAGCCCTCTGGATTACGTTCGCCATCGATCGACCCATGCCTATTTAACGGATTACTCTTGTGTCTTGCCTGTGCCATATCTGTTTGCTGGTGTTCGACCCTGCCTGTTTCTGACCATGTCTTCTAATAAAGCTTTGCAAATGGATCCACGCGTCTCGTTCGCCCCGTAACAATTACTCCAGTTTTCATTGTCACGTGATCCTTCAGAAATAATTAAAATATGCTCATTTGGTGCTCAAGAAACATTTCTTCTTATTATCAATGTTGAAAACAGTTGTGCTGCTTAATATCTTTATGGAAACTGTGACACATTTTTTCAGGATTCTTTTTATTAACAGAAAATTCAAAATATTTGAAAGAGAAGTCTTTTGTAACATAATAAATGTCTTTACTTTCACTTTTTATCAATTTGATGTTTCCTGGCTGAGATCTCCATTTCATTCATATAGGACTCTATGAAGTTTTTGTGAGCAATTGGGAAGAGCATAACAAATGCTCAGGTGCTTACAATAGATGTTGACATTAGCCTGTTGCTGAGCTAACCATACGAAACTCATATGCATACAACCTTATAGCATACACAAGTATATTGTAAAGCAGCATTTTCGAGCTATGCGTCCTGGGATAGCTGTCTTTGGAAAGGACACATGCAGTGCTGTCTTAAAAGTTGGTTGGAGGTATTACTGGTGACAGCATAATTATGGCGTGATGCTTTAAAAGGTTGTCCAGGTAGGCAGCTCACTAGGTTTTAGGACAGAGAAAATCTTTGTAATAAAACCCTTCTCACCTCACCTCACACACACACACACACGCACACACACACACAGATAATACAGCACTACTTCATACACAATCTGTTCTCTCTTCTGCAAACCCTTTCATTTCTATTCCTCTGGTTTCGCTATCTTCTTTAATTAGCATGTCTCACTCTCTCTCTCTATGTCTGTCTCATACAATGGACCAGTCCATTAAGCTTTACATGAGAAATGAGAGCCATTTTTTAGTCATGTGACAGTGCCATATTAAAATGTTTGTAGGGCATTATGGGGCTTTCCTTATAAATAATTCAAATCCCAAAGCAATTAAAGCAGAAATCTGTTATCAGCCTTTACCTTCGCATTTCACAAAGCACAATATACTGCAGATTTCCACCTCTGCTTATACTGGGACAGTACAAACACATGACGGGTATTTGATTCTACTGGTAACTGAGATCCCCAAAGGTCCCCTGCATGAATAAAAAAACAGAATATACTTTGAATATCTTGAAAATGTGTTATATAAGGAAAAATGATAAATATTTGAATAAATATTATAAAAGAAAAATCATTTTAGAAAAACTATTATTAGAACATAATGTAAAATGTATGATAAAATGTAATACAGTAGATATATACGTATGTAATACACACACATACATTTTAGAATGTTCAAATATTTTCTATAAAATGTTTTCTATAATAATATTTATTATCCTGAACTTAATTTGATGACACATATGTAACATATTAATTGCATTAAGTCATCAAAATGAAAATAAAAGGAACAAAAGCATAGTTGCAGATGCACTTTAACAAAGAGAGAGACTGACTTATCTTGATTATGATGTTGCGAGGGACATAATGACCCAGTCTGTCTCAAATATGTGAAATAACAAAAAATAATAAAGCTTTATTTTATTTATATTTTTATTTTATTTATTTTTTAAGACAAAATGCAGTTTTGTGGTCAGTAAGAAAAGATTATTGTCAGCAAATTCACCCACCTTTGTCTGATAAGGGTTGGGAAGGAGACGTGATGGGTTGGAGAATTTAGCAACTGTATATACTTTTTTGTGTGTGTGTGTGTGTGTGAGCGTGCAAAGGCAGCTCTTATCATCAATCACAATATTTCTCTCCTCTGACATCTCACTTTATCACTCCCTCTTTATCTTCTTCTGCTCCTTTTCTGATCCTCTTTCAGTGCTCAGTCATTTTCTCTCTGTCTGCTGGTTTTGTCCTGTCCTCTATTATTCCTTGTTTTTATTTCCTTCTCACAGTCACATTTGATGTACATTTGCATTTACCACAGAATAAGTCTCTAAACACAAACTTTTTTGTTTTGCCCGTTATAGCGCTGCGGCTCCATAAATACCCTGCTAATCACCTATTTTAGTGAACTGCTTTTAAAGATGTGTGTTTCTGTTTTAAAGGCTGGTTTGATGTCATGCTGTGATTGTCCTAGTGATGAGCTCGCGGTAACTGATCTCACAGTCAGAGCTCCTGCTGCGAGACACTTTCACCCGTCTCTCCTCCTGTGCTCGGTCTGTTTTTCGCTACATTGCCATTTTGTGATCATTGCAGTTGTATCATTTGGCTCATATAGTTTGGTTTTATTTACATGCTACAGCCACTCAGTATCATCCGCCAGGGGAACAGTGTGCTCTCCCAGTGAATCTCTCGCCCCAGTTTCTGAACAACTTCTTGAGCGCAGCTTTGCCACACAAACGGAAGTGTCCTTGAACACAACTTAGTGTGTCCTCTGTTAGATAAGCAGCATACATGAGTGACATGAGTGTTGATTTGATCTGCTCATTGAATGTGTGATGCCAGGATCACCAGGAGTGAAGTGTTTGGGAGGATGATGAATCATATTTACAGTGCCGATATTGATCAGGCAGTCTATTTTTCTTTATTTTCTATTTCTCCACTAAGATTCAGCAAGTATTTTTTAAGCTTCAGCTTATAATATATATATATATATATAGCATATCTAAGATTAAAAGCACACCTATAAAAATTTATAGAATTATATCATAAAATATAATATCTAATAAAATGTACACATATATATATATGTGTGTGTGTGTGTGTGTGTGTGTGTGTAATCTTAATTAATTTAATAAATATATTTAATCCTAAATAATTTAATCTTAGGTGTGCTATATATTTTTGGCTTTTGTAAGCTTTCCACCTCTTTAAGAAATTTGTATTGTATAAATTGCAATGGCATCATTATAGTATTTGCATACTGAAATCTGTTTGGTCTTTCCTCTCTTGCATGTATTCACTGCCATTACATTCCAGACTGTGTCTAAACCAAAACCTAAAATCTAAATTTATGTGACACTTTTATTCTTTTGATGCTTTGCAAGCCCTGATGTTTTCTTTAGGAAATGCAATCAAGTTTTTTTCTGTACTCTTTTTTGATTTCTGTGATTTGTTTTAATTTAAAATAAGCTTCAAAATAATATTTAACAAAATAGTAGAATAGAATTCAGTGAATTCTCTAATTCTTTTTACCAACTGTGTATTTTTGCTCTCTTTTTTTTTTTTGCAGTGATCTTCTATCATCAAATTACATTGAGAGGCACATATCAGAGGAGGGGAAGTCAGTTGTCAACAAAGTGAGTATAAACTCTAATTCCAATATCAATTAAATATCTGCTTTAGACCAGAAGTATATTATACCTTTAGCTCATGATTAATCCACAATTTAAAAAAAAAAAGTGTATACAACCAAAAAACCTATTAATTCATGCAAATGCCCTGACCCCCTTCTTTCCACTCTATGACTATGTGTGGGAATAGTGCAACAGTGACTATATAGTCTGATCAGATCTGTGTCTTTGAGCCACTCTGGAACTCTCAACTTCATTCTGTCAGTGAACTGAGGCACGTGTGTGTTAAGATGGGACACATCACACCCAGAGCAGAAGGTGTTTGCTTGTTTTAGCCCAGTGGCAGATTGTTCCTGTCACACACTCACACAAGGGCAGGAATACAGTGTCCTATTTGTGTGCTGCATGTTGGACACCATCATTGTGTCAAGGTGTGTGTTTTATATAGATTATGCATAGTGGACATGTCCGGGTTCTATATTATTCTTTAGAAACTAAAGGGCCCATATCCGATTATTTAACTTTGATATGACCCCTTTGACATGTTTTTTTTAATTTTTTTTATTATTGTTCTAAGTTTGATTCCGATGAAGGTTTCAGTGACGACATTCAGATCCACAGAGGCCTCACACCCACAACCCAGCCTATAAAGCCTGAGGAGACATTGTGCATGTAAGGCTATAAGGGCTCTTTAGATGACATGTTGCTTTTAAGAATGAATGAAAAAATAGAGCGGTGGGTTCTGTGAGGAAGGAGGGAGTAACTGAGGGATGGATGAATAGTCAGAGGATGAAGAGAGAGAGAGAGAGCCACTGAACAGGTTCTAGAGCAGAAACACAGATATATTTAGCTTCATCTCCCCACTGCAATAGTGAACAACCTCTTTGTCATGCTGTGGGATTATATGAATAATACAAAAACGCTATCATATAGCGTATGTATATTTCTCTGAGACCATATCTTTGTGGATCTAAAAGAGGACATCTCGGGATTTTGTGAGATACCACATATCTGGGGGTTTGACCACAACAATGTAAAAATAATTGGTTTTATTAATTGGTTTTAAAACATACATGTAGCTGACATCATAATTATGTAAATCACAAGGAAAGGGGAACAGTTGGTTTATTATTTTAAAATTATCATTAGTATTTTAGATGATTGTTTTTTGAATTTCAACATTTCAGAGAATTTTTATATATTACAAAGAAAAAAATCATTCCTTATATAGTTTCCATTATATATTTTCACCTGCTGAAGAAACAAAACATGTAAATAGGAGGAAAAAACTATATTTTTAATTAAATATAAAAATATGAAATATAAAAATATGAGTTTATGAATAAGTTTGAGAAAACATTTTGCTCATTTTTGCAGTTAAAAATTAATAGTATAGAAAATTATTTAAAAATCAGTTTTATAGAAATATATTCTATAAAATTAGTTGAGAAACTATGTGCAATGTTTATTTCCTGTATGTATTTTGGAAGCTGGGGTGAAAAACAGTTGACTGAAAACAGCATTGAATTTTTAAAATTACAATTAATAAACAGACTACTTCAAATATTTGGGGTCAGTGAGACTTTTTCAGATGTTTTTGAAAGAGGTCTCTTATGCTCACTAAGGCTACATTTATTTGATCAAAAATTCAGCAAAAACAGACATTGTGAAATATTATTGCAATTTTAAAGAACTGTTTTTTTTTCATATATTTTAAAATGTAATTTATTCCTGTGATGCAATGCTGAATTTACAAAAATGTTTCTTATTATTATGAGTGTTAAAAACAGTTTTTGCTGCTTAATATTTTTTGTGGAAACTGTGATACATTTTACAGGATTCTTTGATAAATAGAAAGATCCATTTATTGTGTCCTGGTTGAATAAAATATACATTACGTTCTAAAAAAAAAAAAATCTTAATGCCCACAAAATTTTGAATGAAATCTTCTCATGTTAAAGGTCATCCCAAATTCACATCCTTTAATACCTTCTTACCTTTGTATACTGCATGAAAAGGCAGCATTCTTTTTTAGATTTTGGACACAGCCTGTCTCTGATTCTAGGCACTAATGCATGCTGGGTCATTAGTCTGAGAGGGGCTGTTTCTACAACAACTGCACTCTTCAGGAATGTCTCTGTGTTTGTGTGTGTGTGGTAGAGACTGCCCTCGGCTCTTGATTAGCTGTGAATTCTTGAGGACATAAAGTGCTACTTGTGGAAAAAAGAGGCAGAAGTGCTCCAGAACAAGCTAGAGGAAAGAAAACAGCAAAGGAATGGATAAAACTCAGCGTATAAAGCTTTTTGTCCAATGCAGAGAGAGAGAAAAAGAGAGGGATGAAATTAAATTGATCTGCTGGTAAATGCTGCAGCTTCAGTCCTCTGAGAAAAAGCAGGAAGAGAAAACCTGCAGCCCTAATGGCAGTCGAGCACTTACACTAAAAACATTTCATAAATAACATACACACTCGGGAAGGCTCTTACAAGTCTTCTGATCACTTCAGTACAAACAAAAGTGGCCAGTATAAATGTTGACCCACACACGTGCAGAATTTATACATTTAATGTCAACATAAAATACAAAAATCCATGATCTTGGCCTTATTGGTGATATTGCTTTTATACAAGTTCAATATACAATAAGTTAATGTTAAGTAACTTACATTTTAGACACAATAATGCCAGTTACTTTTTCTGTTACTTTTAATTGCCAAAGAAAATAGTGCCAAACAAAGCTGCAACAGAACCATTGTGTGTCTCTGAGTAACACACAGTAGTGGCGTTTCATGATTGATTCTGTTGAATGAATGATTCAGTGGCTCAGTGTTTTCATTCTTGAATGATTCAGCGTTTCTGAACTAATGAGTTTAATGAATGATTCCGTGACTCACTCACAGATATGAATGAATTGGCATTCTGAATGAATCGTTTCAAAGAATGAGTCAGTGATTCACTCATAATGACAGTCATTTGTCGCCACCTACTGGTGTAATGATGTAACATACAGAAAGAGTCATTAGCTATGTTTCCATCCTAAGTTGCGAATTTAACTTGTGTGCAGAACTGGAGTATTGCATAAAACATTCCAGAATAAGCACCGTTTCCATCCAACAAGTCAAAAAGAACTAAACCATCACTTCCTGATAAACTGGCACTAAATATCACTAAGAAAATAGGAGAAGTATATACTGAATATAATAATTTCCATATATAATAAATTACTTGCGCCTCAGTCAGAGCGAGCAGACGAAACACAATAAATGCGGTCATTGCTATCGGAGGTGGATACCTGCTGTTTGGGAACACAGTCGTGTAAGACAGTTTTGGAGGCAAAATACTTTGACGACAGACTTTCCTCAGGCATTTCAGAATGAGCATAACAACATTTCAGATGCTGTGCAACGAGATCAGTCCGCTGCTTAGTCAGGTTATGCCGTCCCAAGTCACTAATAGCTATTGAAAAATCCCCACTGCTAATGCAAATTCACATTTACTTTTATTAATTTATCAGCTCTTGGAACACCGGAACTAACTGTTGTAAAAAAACTAAAAAACAATATATAGATATTTTTTGCTGAAAAGTCCAGTGAATTATAACTCTTGAAATAAAATCAGGGTTTCCGTGGGTCTTAAAAATCTTAAATTTAGTTGTATCAAATTTAAGGCCTTAAAAAGTCTTAAATTGTACAAGAAAGTCTTAATTATGATTTCAAGAGGTCTTAAATTTGGGGACGGAAAGATCAGATTTGCGATATGGCTGAATGTGGCGATTAAACTTCAAAAGGCTATGATTTCATTGAATAAACATGAGCGCTGCAAGTTCAAAGTGCTGCTCTGCTTTGTGTTCTGCTGTTACCGGGGAAACAGTTATATTTCTACCAAAGGCTCCACCTGCTGGCAGAGAACTGTTGTTTTGTTCAGAGTTCAGACCAATGCGAAAATCGACCCATGTTTTTACCCTGCAAACACGCAAACACAGCCACAGCGCTGTTTTGTGTCTCTGAGCAACACGACAGTGTTTAATTAATCAACCGTTTAAAATGATTCGGTTCAATCGCAATGACTCAGTAAACAGTGACTTGCTGCCACCTACTGGCGGTTTTAATTTCACATTAAAAGTATCTTTTATTTTTTAAATAATTTCAAATATCAGTATTCAATGTACCTTGTCTCATTTGATTATTTTCTCTTTTTATTTGGAAATTGATGGAAGCAAATCATGATTACGCATAACAGATGAATAATAAATCCGGCAACAGCTGCTTCACATTATGCAGCACTTAAGTTAAAAACAAAACAGTAAATCTATAAAAGGGATGGTTCTTCTGAATTTACTTACTAAACTCTGATTGAATTAGCCACATTTAAAGCCATTAACAGTATGTGCTGTTTGTGATTATTGTTTGTTTCTTCCTGCAGGGTGGAGAACACTGTTACTACCATGGGAAAGTACGTGATATTCCAAAGTCATATGTGGCGCTTTCAACTTGCCATGGATTACAGTAAGTCCTTCTAAAGATGTGCTGCATGTCTGAATGAACATGCAAACACACCAGCTGTTAGCAGGCCAAAGCTGCGATTATCCCATTCAACAATTAGAGCTGTATAATTACAGCATGCTACTATCCTCCTCTCATATCACACACTAATGCTCTCAGCGCTCTTTGTGTCTTATGTGTGTGTGTGTGTTTCTTTCGTTCTCCCCTGTACTGATGCTGTAATGCTTATTGCATCACATCTGGCCGTTTGATCCTCCATTGCAAGTGGAAAATGTTATATTTGTTGTGTTTGTAAGATTTATGTTTGTATTATTGGCTACCTGCTGTGTAAACCTGAAGTAAACCTAGCTGTGTTCCTGAGCCGTTCATGTGCCTGAGGAGAATTGAGTTAGTCTCTATAGAGTCTTATGAACACACACCACCTCTATGCGTGGCCCTCTGGGATAGCTCAGTTCCTTCCGTCTGTATTTTTAGTGAGAGAAGGAGTCAGGTCAGTTCCATCTCTCTCTCTCTCTGTCTCTTTCTGTATGTGAATGCACAGAGTCAGGTCAGATGTAGCTCAGAAATAGAGCAGCAGCGCTCTTCACATACATAGTCATCATGCTTGAACGTTTACAGCCTTAATATCTTCTCCTCAAAGAATCACATATGCACAGATTTAGGAGGAAATGAATTGCTGTTGTTGTTTGTTTGCACATGCTCTCTGGACAAAAGAATAAAGAATTCAACATATTGTATTCCAATATAGTGTTCTCATTGTAATGTTATTATTTCAAGACAGTGTTCACATGTTTTTTTGTTAAATGTTGATATATTTTTAAATTAATATATAAAATATTCATTTTATCAGTTGATCAGACAAATATAGATGTCATTAAAACTAATTAATATAATATTGTGAAATATTGACAAAATTTAAAGATTATTTTCATTAACAGAAAAAAAAAGACTTAAAATACAAAATAAATTAGTGAAAATTAATACTGGAACTGACCTATGTGAAATCTTTTGTTTTTATAATTTTATGCAGTTAGTTTAAAAGAAAATGTACTTTTGTTAAAAGCCAGGTTTGTTCTTTGCAATAAACAATACAGTATCCTTAAAGGGTTAGTACACCCAAAAATGAAAATTAGGCTGCGTTTTACTCACCCCCGAGGCATCCTAGGTGTATATGACTTTCTTCTTTAATTTTCATTTTTGGGTGAACTAACCCTTTAATGTGTTTTAAATGGAAACGTCTCATGAATAAAAAGTACACTATTGTTTAAATTTTGGGGTTATTAAGTTTTTAATAACTTGAGACGTCTCTTTTGCTGGCAAGGCTTTATTTATTTTTATCAAAAATGCAGTAAAAATAGTAATATCTTGAAATATTATCACAATTTTAAATAACTATTTTATGTTTGAATATATTTTAAAATGTATGTCCAGCATCATTACTCCAGCCTTCAGTGTCACATGATCCTTCAGAAATCATTCTAATATGCTGATTTGGTTTATTATTATCATTGTTGAAAACAGTTGTGCTGCTAAATAGTTATGTGAAAACCGTGATACATTTTCTTTTATTATTTTATGAATAGGAAATTTAAAAGGACAGCATTTATTTGTACATGTTATTTTATTACATTATAAAATTATAAATGTCTTTATTGTCACTTTATTATCCAAAAAAATATAATTATCTTATTAACCCCAAACTGAACTGGAAATATGAGTATATAAACTGTGACATATAAGAGAAGTAATAATACTGAGAGGAAATTATACTATCTCTTATGTGTGATGAGAACAGTGTGTATATGCTGAGAGGGAGGGAGTGGTGCTGCTGAGACTGCAGTTTTATGGTGGTTCATCTTAATGCCATATTACAGGTCAGACAAACAGCGTTACGTCACAGGCTGCTGATGACAGACTACAGCAGACGCTTTTAAAACCCCTCATCGACTGAGAGCTATTTTACCTCTTGCAGATCATTGACCTAAAGCCATTATTGATGTAGTTATATTGGCTGTTCTGTTATTATACAAACTTGGCTTAGGATTGCTTTAAGATCTTTTACATTATGTCTACACCGGACACAAGCGGCATGATGCATTAAAAATCTATCTATCTGTCTATCTATCTATCTATTTGTCTGTCTGTCTGTCTGTCTGTCTGTCTTTTTGTTTTTTCTCTAAGTGACTCTCAAAAAACAGTGTGAGACTAGCGTCTGTCTTGATGAACTTTCATTTTCTGGTTTTCCATTGAAAATTCTTTCATGATTCATTCATGTGTGAGAGAGAGCTCTGTATTTATGAATGTAGTCAGGCTAAAGGGCATTTTATCATCCTTCAAATGCTTTCAGAAGCATAGAACTGTTAATTGCATAGTTTTTCTAAATTAGTAGGCAGTATACAGTATATACTGTGTAGAATTATACAGAATTGAATTGAAAGAACTTCAAGAAAGAACTTCAACCTTTCATTTCATCATAGTATTTGTCCATAAGGCAGATATAAACCTCCAAATTTAAATGCTTTTTAAACTTTATCAAGATTTTGTCAAACCAGCATTCAAAGTTTGTTGACAAACTTTTCTTCTAGTTAAAAAATTACTGTTTTTATTAAATTCTTTAAATGTTAAGTCATTTAAATTCTACTTCTAAATTGGATAGATTTAGCTAGCAAAATTACAATTTAAATGTGAATGTAAGTAACATTCAACATCAATTAAAAATGCTCTTTAATCAGCCTGTTTTTGTATAACATTAATTTTTTATATAATGGCCACTAAACTGTATAACGTACTAACACTGTAAACAATTGCTGTAAAAATAACGGCCATATTCTGACATTACTGTTTTCCATTAAATCAGAAATGTACTGTAGAAAACAATGCATTCTGGGCAATAATTTTCCCGGTAAGCAACTGCTGTTAATTTACAGCCCATTTTCAACACTAATCTACTGTATATATTAGGGCTGGGTTTTGACACAAATTTCACGATTCGATTCGATTCTCATTCACAAGCTTGCGATTCGATTACCAATTCGATTCGATTCAATATCGATTATTTTGGATATATATATCAGGTACAGTACATGCCAAATTTTCTCAAAGAAAAAAAACTAATGCTGTAAAAAATACATGAGAGTCAGTTGGTACTACATTACTATAATATTGAAGGTTAAAATTGACTGATTTGTTAAAATTACACTTGATGTTTTTAAAATAATAAAGTTAATTATATAATAATATTTCTACTTCAATTAGTTTTTTTGAAATATAAACATAATGGTGGCTGTCATAAAACTTGATGGATTTATTCAAACATAAATTAAACATTGAAGAACAGTAAAATTTATAATGAATATGTTATATGGTGCATATATTTAGCAAAATGCCCCTCTCCAGGGGCATTTTGCTAAATATATGCACCATATAACATATGGTTTATGGTTTATTTTTCTATCTGACTAATGAGTTTATGGTCACTGAATATGTTTTTCTCAGGTAAATGTGACGTTACGTGACATTGTTTACAAGCCTTTATATTGACATCTTTGCGCGGCTGAAACACTGATTGAGCGATTAGGCTAAATGAGACAGAATACGGATTGGAAAGTTGTACTCTTTCTTTTAACTTACCTTCGGATGTTTAGTCATGATTATTTTGTGCTGAAACTGGTATTAATGTGGAGGAGATGATCAGTTCACGTACGCCTCGCCGCGTCTGTTGAACTGAGGAGCTACAGCGATCTGTCACTACACATTAAACAGCGCCAAAACAACATTTATTGTTTGAATACTGCAATACAATTGACAGAATTTGAAATCTGAGACTTTGTTTCATATTAAAAGTATCAAAGCACAAAATATTTGAGTTGTAATGTTCTGGAACAGTGTTGTAAATAAAATGTAACCATTTTCTGATTTCTAGTTGTGTCCTCTTTTGGAAGACCAAACTAAGTAGTTTGGCTCTCGCAACGAAACACACAGCGTATCCACGATATGGCGGCGGCAACAATACTACAGCGAGAATAAAAGTTATGCCTTCTTTCTTTGTTATGCAAATCTTCCCACACAGTGACGTAGATATGTAGGGGCGTGTTTGAACAAGGCGTTTTAGGAAGGCGTGGCTGAGCATTCACTTTTATAAAGAATATCTCTTTGGGTTTGAGACTTTAATCTTTGCGACTTTACAGATCTTCTGTATGCACGAACAGCTTTTAACACTCCAAAGACAAAGGAAAACATGAAATCGCATCATATGACCCCTTTAATCTTGCCTATTTTTGTCCATTTCGGGTGTTCTTGCTTATAAGTAAATGTTCACCTTTTATTAGCCTTTTACTGTTGCCTGTGTTTTTACTGTGGTAATTTCCTTTATATGATTTTAATTTCCAATGTATTTTTAGAGTGTTTTGTAAGTTCAAATAATCACATAATATATTCCATGTATTTTTTACAGTAAATGGCTGTAAAGTAATTTCACAGTATTAATAACATAGAATTACAGTATATTGCTGGTGACTCTGCTGCCAGTATTTTACCGTTATTTTACAGATAAATTTTTTACAGTGTATGCATTACCATCTCTCTCTTTTTCTTTCTCTCTAGTGGGATGTTCTTTGATGGGAACCACACATACATGATTGAACCAGGAGGAGAGAATGCTACAAGTGTACGTATAGTGGATTCCTGCATTAAACAAAGCAAATATCGCCCATATCAGTATTATGAGATTTATATCTGTCATCATGTTATTTATTCGCTTTAAAGTAAAAATAATTATTGTATTGCCACAGTTTTTATAGCATACTTGCTGCATCTTTACTTTGGTTTTAAGGTGTCTGTGGATGAAACTAACTAAACTTGATAGTGATTGTTTGAGGCAAGGAAACTCCCCAGAACAGTTTAACAGGGTATTTCCTGTGCAGACAGGTCATATGTTGACTGATAAGCCCATCACACAGTCGATAGAGATACCTGACACTGCAAAAGCACAGCTATTATCTGCTAATGGCAGAATCCCATGTGAACACTGGCAGAGAACGAGGAGGGCGTATCAGTGAAAGACAAGCTAAAGCTGTGTCACTGAGACACTGAGGTTTTAGAGAGGGAATGTCATTTCTCAGTCGCAGAACGATGATCTGATTCATTAAGTGACTCACAGAGGTACATGTTAATGAAGAGATTTATGTCATTTAAAGCAGCGGTGAAAGGCTGAGATGTTGAAGTTCTTTCATTAATGGGAGAATGAAGCCTGTTCAGTGACACAGGAGGGAGTTTATGATCCATTCACAGTTTGCTTTTTTCTCTCAGCTTTGTTTTATCTGTTCAGTCACACATATTATAAGTCCAGAGTCTTTATGACTTTATGACAGAAATGGCTTAATGAATTAAATTCAGCATAATTCACACAAATGTTTATCTTTATAAATGTAAATGTATATTAAATATTTATAATAATGCTTAAAGATTTTATAAACACATGTATACACATTTTAAAATAATGTGGTAAAATAATATATACATACAGGGCCTAAAACTAACTTTTTGCCACACCTGCCAATGGCCGGTGACATGATAAAATTTACCGGCCATGAAACTCTTTTTGCAAATACAGGCTAAACATATTTACAATGTTTTTGTCCTGCTGGTGCATTTTCCCTCAATTTTCCCTATTTATTATAGCCATTCAATATTACAGTATAATTGAAAGCTATTATTTTTAACATTTAATAGGCTCTGAAATATATAACAACTTTTAATTTAAGTGATTTTAAAACAATCTTCACATAAACTATATTATATATGCATAAACTATACATATTAATCTTTATTCAAGCTATAAAAGTTAATCAGCTACTAGAACAGTCCAAGGATTTCTCTTTTTCTTTTGTTCTTTGATTTACATCAATGACAGACTTCAGCAGGTTTCACTTTAAAATCAGCGCTGTCTCTTTAAGACCTGATGCATATGACGCGGATCTGACACATATCCGATTTTCTCCCAACTCTTTACGGACATTTAAGACTTAATAACTCATTTAAGACTACATTTACAAGGTAACTCGTCAAAACTGCGCATTTTGACATAATTGTGTGTGTTTTCGTGCGTTGAAGAGCTACTGGTGCGCTGTCTGAAGCGGCTCAGCGTATGCGTACAGCCGCTTTATGACATCAGAAATGGCTTAATGAATTAAATTCAGCATAATTCACACAAATGTTTATCTTTATAAATGTAAATGTATATTAAATATTTATAATAATGCTTAAAGATTTTATAAACACATGTATACACATTTTAAAATAATGTGGTAAAATAATATATACATACAGGGCCTAAAACTAACTTTTTGCCACACCTGCCAATGGCCGGTGACATGATAAAATTTACCGGCCATGATTTTTTTTTACTGGCCATGAAACTCTTTTTGCAAAAACAGGCTTTATTCGCTTATGTCAGAAACAGCGAATCTCTTTAAAAGCTGGCTGCTGTTTTCACTTCATTGCATTGTTATAATTCGTAAAAGTACCCGCCAACTGGCGACTGACACTGTTACATGGACTCGCCAACGCTGATTTTTACTCGCATTTGGCGCTTGGCGAGTGTTCATTTTAGGCCCTGTATATATATTTTATATACATATAAAATATATATATAAATATATATATATATTTCATTATTTTATATTATTTTTTATCTAAAAATAGAAATGACGATTATACAGTATATGGTATATATAATACACATTTAATATATAATATATGACCTGTAAATAAAATCATTTTATTTCAGACAGACAGAGAACATAAAAAACGCTTGAATTGATGACAGATTGGTTGATTATAATGGGATTAATAGTTTTGAACCATCTACCTTTGTTTTGTATTTAGACCTCAAAAACTTTGTATCTGATTGTTACTGGTTCCTAGTTTATCTCCTAGTTAATAAGCAGGTTAATTGAGTTTTTAACACTCCACAACCGCCGTTTCTTCTCTGGTAATGTGAGGAATCCTTATCTTCTCACTTTTGTTGTGCAATGCTTCATCAGCTTGTCTTATGAGCATCTCACCCTGAGAAATGACTCCGTTTCTTTATCGTCTTTATGCTGATGGTTTTGTCATGTTTCATATCAACCCCATGACCTTGCGTGTTGGTGACCTCAGCAACAGGGCAGTCCTCTGATCTGATTCATTCAGACACAGTCAGACACCAGAGGGACAGTATCGTCCTTTTTACCATATGGCACATGCATCTGTCATCCGCCTCGCACTGCAGCGGGGGACATGAAAACGTGTCCCTCTTTGGCCTCTGTAGCGTCTCTCACTGCTGGATTCTGCAAAAAGCTCACAGTACATGCAGGGTCTCTGCCTCTCAACCTACCTGAAGTCATAATGAAATCAAAGTGGACCTTCTTTACTTTACTTTTACTCCTGATTTTTTGAACATGATTTTTGATTGATGTTTGCTTGGCTGGAAATAATTTTAGCCCTTAGCCAAATAGGTAAGAATATAGCTACTATTGCATGATAGTATATAGCTTTTCTAAAATCTTGCACAGTGAAGTATTAACAATAATTTAATTTATTTGATAAATTATTATAATAATACATTTATGTTCATTAATAATAATGTATTTATTTATTTACACAAATGTTTGTGGTCAGTACGTTTTTTAAAAGAAATTAATAGTTATAGGATAATAATGGAATTATAGGGAAAAACGTCATTGTTTTTCCATGTTAACAAATGGAACCTGTTAAGTGTTACTGAACAATAATAACAACGAATCAGTCAATATACAGATAGGCCCACTGTTCTCTATTATAGATCAGTGGATAGGCCATGTTTTAGGTTAGAAAAAAAATGTTTGAAAATAAATAGCTCATTAAGTCTTAAAGTATTAATTATTTGGTGCTATTGTGAAGACTAAAGCGAATATAAATATCTAAATGACTGTGAAACATTATTTACACAGTTAGGAAAGTAGTGCAGCTGTTTTGTTCACAGGGTTACCGGTCAGCGCCTCTAGTGGCGAATGTGCGCTTCATTCAGCGCATCTCCTTCACTCGCTCCGCCTTTCTTCTCATCTGTGCTAATTTAAATTAAACCATTGCCTTTTGAAGTTCAGTAATCATATGAGGCTGTATCGCTATTTTTTCCATAAATAAACTGAAGAAATTAATACATTTGTTATAGGCTACTGTATAAGTTAGGCTGTTTTGTATTTTGTATTGTATTCGCACTCATGCTCCTAAATACATTTTCCAGTTCGCAATGAAATGCTCGCACTGTCGAGCCCTGATACTAGCAGTATATTGTCTTTTTCCGCTTGACTTGCACTTCGCAACAACACAAGCTTGTTTCTGCAAAGACGTTTAGCATGTTTTCTACAAAAATGTCTGACTTGTTTACATTTTACACGGCATGAGAATGTGAAAAAGCTACGCTAAATCTGATCTGACCAGTCAGACTGAAACGGATTTCCAGGAATGCGATTTGAATTGGATTTCAAACCACATATGAAACAGATATAAACAGATATTCCATGTAGTTCGTTGCCATTCAGAATATCTAAATATGATCTGATTTCAATCGGATTTGCACAAAAATCCGATTTGGGGTGACAGTCTGAACGAGGCTATAGTTTATGCTACAATCAAAATTTTCTGCTAGAAAAACAGGACAGTGTGTTTTTGGAGGGAGGGTTTTCATCTGATTGTACGTCAATGAGTTTGTGTTTTGAGAGACATCTCTTACTTCTCTCTCCATGTCTCTCATTTCCTCAGCGGACAGTCGGGTTGATAGCGTTGGGGGTGGGTGATCATCTCTGGAGCGGAGGCGGCCAAGTAGGTATAACTGCAGACCGGAGATCTCCAAAATGGGGCGTGAACTCCAAAAGTGGGCAGAACCTCCAAAATCGGGCGGGGTCTCCTCTCGCAAAGACTTTCACCATTGGCTCTGGCTTCAGCCAATTGTTATTGACTTACATTTCAAAATAAAACTTTATGTTAAACATCGTTTCTAGCTGATCTAAAATAAAATATGCTATATAAATAAATATTCTCTGTGAGAGCAGAGCCCAAAGCTCTTGGCCAGTTGTGTTCGGACTGGAGTTTGAACCTCTGCTTAATGATATAAACGGGGATCACCCACGAGCTCTCCCTTGAGCCGTCCCAGCGCAGCGCAGGGGAAAGATTTTACTCTATCACTTTGTTTTAAGCAACGGGGGCATCCCGGGGCTCGAAATTCGCAGGGTATGAGGGGATAGTGATGCTGGGTGCAACTAAAAAAGTGCCATTGTCCGGTGAGGTCCAGCTGGGGAGTTACGGAACGATCTCATATCGCATAATCTTATTAACTGTTTATCTCCTGAACTGCATCTTTCTTTACCACAATCCCGCCGTGGTCAATTTCACTGGTTAAGGTTAGGGTCAGGTGTGGGGTAGGTTTAGGGGTTAGCATTTTTGGTAGTATAGTGTAGGAAATCAACACTTTAATTGACACAACCAATAAAATCGTTAGAATCAGCTGTGGGGTGAAGTTTGCATTGAAGTGGATTGGGGGAAAAAATGTACATGCGTGTCATGTGCCTGTCTGTCAATGGGAGGAAGCCACGCCCTATTTTGGAGCTCCCACCCCATTTTGGAGTTCCTGCCCCCATTTGGAGATCTCCAGGCTGCAGTTATACCCTTCTCACTATATACGGTGAAAATTTTTTTACGGTAGCATTAGAGCTGTACGATTAATCGTTAAAAGATCGCGATCTCGATTCAGACAACCACACGATCTCATTTCTAAATGACAACGATCCTCCCATGTCTATTAAACCTTTGACAAAGTCTTACCAGATCATTAAAATCTGCGTTCGCACTGCCGCTGACACACAGAGAGCAGTTACCATGTTTGGTTAAGAAACAGCTTCACAAACAGTCTTTTCAACTACACAGTATTATTTCTGTCATACAGTCATTGGTCATGTTAGCACAAAAATCAAAACTCTATTTCGTTTGTTGTGTGTGTGTGGGGCGCTGGACAAATGGGCAAGTAGATATAACTGCAGACCTGAGATCTCCAAAATGGGGCGTGAACTCCAAAAGTGGGCAGAACCTCCAAAATGGGGCGGGGTCTCCTCCCGCAAAGACTTTCACCATTGGCTCTGGCTCCAGCCAATTGTTATTGACTTACATTTCAAAATAAAACTTTATAAATTAAACATTGTTTCTAGTTGATCTAAAATAAAATATGCTATATAAATAAATATTCTCCGTGAGAGCAGAGCCCAAAGCTCGTGGCCAGTGGTGTTCGGACTGGAGTTTGAACCTCTGCTTAATGATATAAACGGGAATCACCCACGAGCTCTCCTGCGAGCCATCCCAGCACAGGGGACAGATTTTATTCTATGGCTTTGTTCTAAGCAGCGGGGGCGTCCCGGAGCACGAGATTCGCAGGGTAGGAGTGGGTAGTGACGCTGGGTGTAACTAAAAAGGTGCCATTGTCCGGTGAGGTCCGGTTGGGGAGTTACGGAACGATCTCATATCGCATAATCTTATTAACTGTTTATCTCCTGAACTGCATCTTTCTTTACCACAATCCCGCCGTGGTCAATTTCACTGGTTAAGGTTAGGGTCAGGTGTGGGGTAGGTTTAGGGGTTAGCATTTTTTGTAGCATAATGTAGGAAATCAGCACTGTGATTGACACAACCAATAAAATCTTTAGAATCAGCTGTGGGGTGAAGTTTGCATTGAAGTGGATTGGGGGAAAAAATGTGCATGCGTGTCATGTGCCTGTCTGTCAATGGGAGGAAGCCACGCCCTATTTTGGAGCTCCCACCCCGTTTTGGAGTTCCCGCCCCCATTTGGAGATCAGGCTGCAGTTATACCCTTCTCGGGGCGGCAGGCACCCCACCCCCTCAACATTTTTAACACACTTTCCAAAAAAATGAAAGTGTGCCATCCCCCAACCTGCTTTCTATTCATGATCTAGTCCCCAAGAGAACACACACCCCCCCTCCTCTGCTCCAATACAGAAAACCCCATCTTATTTTAAGCCAATACATCTGAGAGGCCATCTGCGTTATATGGCTAATCCTTCACAAAAAAGTGCCGCCTCTCATACGTGAGTATATGGGGGGTGGACTGGAACAGCCTCCATAGAAACGAGGTCTGTGTCTCCCTCGTCTTTCTTATCTAGCGCACTGATATTCCCCCTGGCAGCGAGTGTAAGTGTGCAGAAGTGTGCTGGCAGGATGTGTAGTGTTCCTGTAGCTCAGCTGGTAGAGCATGGCGCTAACAACAGCAAGGTCATTTCCCAAGAAATGCATGTCTGATAATACGCACATCAAATTCACTGTAAGTCGCAAGTGTCTGCTAAATGCAGTGATGTAATTGTTGAATACTGGAGTTGTCTGATATTTCAGGTCAGCTGTTGTTTAACGTCTTGAGACTGACTGGCTCTCTGTTCCAAAACCTAGTGAGCTGCCATCCTCCATAAAATGGAACCTCATAAGTGACTGACTTGAAACTCTTCATTGGCAGCCACTCTGTGTATCATATGAAAAGCACTCAATAGGCGTGGCTCTCATTTGATTTCGGTATATTTGCTTGAAGTCAGTGTTCTTAAGCTTTCGACATTGTACTCTACTAAGCATAAAATGCATAGAGCAAACAAATATTGGGTAAATTATTAATAAAATATTGGCTATCCAATTAGTTAAAAAAACTATAGATAAAAATAAATAAATATTGTTCAATATAATAAATGTTTTACCTAATAATTTATTAATAATTATTAGGGATTTTTTTTTAAAGTTATTCAGCCTTGAATGTAATTATATTTATAATCAACATTTATCTTGCTTTGCTTGCAGTATAATTGTTAGCTAAATGTTTTCCATTTTAATTTGATACAACATTTAAGCCCAGTAATTCAAAGAAATAACTCTACAGGTATGCTTTCTCTGAATGCAATTCAGACACCAAGGGACTACACCTATGCTATATTTCAACAAATCACAGCAGATTTCATTTAATAAACTGCACTCAAGACATTAGTACTCTATACACTGATTATGTAAAGAAATAAAAAAAAAATTACATAAAATTAACATTTTGCAATAGAGCATTGTAGAAACAGGCAAGATGAAATTGATCTGTGCAATATGTCATAGGCAATGTAATAGGAACTATTTGTTTTTAAGACATTAGTGTTTTTTCTCTCATTTTTTAGCAATGGATTAAGTGACTAAGTAACAGTAAACAAACATACTACTACAGCATGTAATTCAAATGCTCTGAGTTACACTGCACTGACTTCTCTGGTGTGACACCTTTAAAACGCAATAAAAACATTTGCACTAAAAGAAGAGAGTGGAATGCAGTGTAGTGTTTCATTCATGGTTTGTTGCTCATGTAAGGCTTATTACAAAGCATAAATCTAAAAGTGGAAGTACAGTCTTGATAACAGTTGTTAAACTGCTCAAAGGCATCAGGCATCGGTGAGTAACAAGTCAAGACTACAAGGTTATTTTTTAAAACCTGCAAACCCTTAAACATAAAAAAACACAGATTCTGTTACGTAAGTGTTCATGTAGCATCTTGACAGTTTTTAAACTGACAACAAAACAGAAATTAAAAATGTCTTTCCATTGCAAAAATAATAATAAACAGCAGGTAAAAATTAATTCTCCTTCACATTATGTAACATCAGAAAGGAAAAACAAAACAAAAACATGATGTTCAGGTATTACAACAATAAGGCAACGTAAAAAGGCAAATATGAAACTTCATGGCATTGACAGTAATACAAGTGTAAGCAGTCATAAAACAGAGTGTAAGTTGCGTCTCTTTTTAGCATTTACTAATCACATTTAGATATTAGCAGGCATATTCACTAACAGGTTAAAAAGTTCAGTGTTACTGTTGAGGTTTAAAACCAGAATAAAGAGATAAGGTCATGAAACATGAACAGAATGAATTTCTGTGTACATAATACATAAACCTGTCACACTGAATTTAATGCAACATACTCAGTGAAATAATGAACAGTTTACACAGAAATTTGTTCTGCTTGTGTTTTATGAATAAAGCTCATTGAGAGAGGTACACAACTTTCTAATTCCACTTGTGTTATTGGTTTGATGACCATTTTTACGTTGTTTTGGCCATTTTCAGTGCTATTACTAAGAGGCACCTGCTACATCAAGTGAATAAAAGGCATTTCTTTCAATTTCACCATTTTGTTCAAATTCACTGCCACAGCTAATTGACCATTTCTAATTTATAGGAATAGAATACCAGTTTGACCTGTTTGATTTGAAACAACTAACTCAATGTCTGTCTGTAAGGACAGGAATGTCAATCTCAATGCCGGACATACGGGAGCGTGTGGAATAGCGGTGCCCAGCATACCTCTGTGAGGGGGCGTAGCTTTGAGATGGGGCATATCCCTGAGAAGGCGCGTAGCTTTGAGAGGGAGCATATCTATATGCCTGTGAGGCTCCAACTTCTGAGCCGTAACTATCAGGTATGGACATCTGTGGCATGTAGACATGGGGCGGCATAGGCTGTGTGGGTGCAATTTGAGGGTAACCCTGTGCTGGAACAAAAGTGGGGGCATCCAGAACAGCCGGAGGGAAGCTCTGGGGTGCGTATGTCATGGGAGAAGGCAAGCCGTTGGTCATGAGGGGTTGCGCGGAGAGGCTGTTGGTCATTGCAGGTCCTTCAGGTAGAGGTAGCCAGAAGGGTGAAGACAGTTTTTTACACATGCAATACCACATGAACATCAGCACAGTGGCTAAGAGCAGACCACCAGCACTGCCGATGGCCACATACACCCCAAACTCAACAGCAAAAAGATTATCGTAGCGCTCATTAAGGTTACGCGTGTGGAACAGGAACCAGACAGAGGGCGGCATGGCAATGGCCCCGCCTAGAAACAGAAGCATCCCAGCCACTAGATGGCAGCCTGAGCTGTTGACCAAGCAGCGGGAGTTCTTGATGTC